CTGGTTGAATTTTCAGGTCCTCCGTTGAATTCATACAGGAAGAGGTTAATAAGACAATGAGAAAGGTTTGTAGGAGTGTGGGACGGGTTTATAAAGCCATTATATATATATGAAAACGGAACCCCCGCGATAGGTGAGGGATCACTGTGCTTCGTCGTTTTACTGAGGACTCTAAATTTAGGACTTTAATCTATGTTGTACCTCCAACTAGAAAGTACATCCAAGGATTCGTTCATTATTTGACATTCCATCACATGTGGTACATGTGGTGGAACAAAATTTTGTACACAGGGTCCCAGTTACATCCAACAAAAGTACAAAATGTAAAAGAAAAACAGTAATGAGATCTAAGATATGAACTAAGAAAAATGTTCATAAAAATACACTAAGCCCTAATAGTATAAAAACAATACGCCGAACAACAGCACGAACATGAGTCTGTGTGAGCAGATGAGTACGAATGAACACAGCAACATGAAACAGATCAGCAGCAACATTGAAACAGATCAGAAGCAACATGAAACAGATCAGCAGCAACGTGATTTTTTTCACAGTGATTATTCTGGTTAGAGATTTATGAGTCTAACAGCCTCAGGGTAGAAGCTGTTCCTCAGTCTAGTGGTTCTACACTTTATGCTCTCTCAGCCTTCTGCCTGAGGGGAGTGGGGCAAAAAGTGTGCGTGCTGGGTGAGTGAGGTCCTTCATGATGCAGGTGGCCCTCTTCCTGCATCTGGAGGTGTAGATGTCTGTGATGGTGGGGAGACTGACTCCAACAGTCTTCTGTGCAGCCTTCACCACTCTCTGCAAAGCTTTTCTTTCTGCAGCTGTGCAGCCTCCATGCCACACGTTGATGCTGGAGCACAGGATGCTCTCCACTGCACACCTGTAGAAGGTGGTGAGGACTGAACTTCTCAGACCAGCTCATCTCAGCCGCCTGAAGAAGTAGAGTCTCTGATGAGCTTTCTTGATCAGGCTGGTGGTGTTGTTGCTCCGGCTGAGGTTGTCATTCAGGTGTACACCCAAGTACTTGCAACTGGAGACTACTTCCACTGCAGATCCTCTTACGTTCAGGGGAAGGGAGGATGTATTTGTTCCGTTTGAAGTCCACAACCATCTCCTTTGTCTCTTCACATTGATGTGAAGGTTATTCTCTTTGCACCAGCTCTCCAAGTGTTCCACCTCCTGCCTGTAGCTGGACTCAACATTGTTTGTGATGCATCCCACCACCTCTGTATCGTCTGCAAACTTTATAATGTGACAGCCTGGATGGGTAGGTGCACAATCATACGTGAGCAGAGTGAACAGGAGAGGGCTCAGCACACAGCCCTGAGGGGAGCTGCTAGTGCTGAGGGTTATGGTGGAGGAGGAGAAGTTGTGGATCCTCTGTTTGTTAAGAAGTCTAGTACCCAGTTGTAGATGGAGGGGCTTAGTCCTAGTGTGAGTAGTTTGTCAATCAGTGTTTGGGGGATCAAGGTGTTGAAGGCAGACGTGAAGTCCACAAAGAACATACAGACATAGGGGTTCTTCTGCTCCAGGTGGGTGAGAGCAGTGTGGACCACAGAGGAGATGGTGTCTTCTGTAGATCGATTCTCGCGGTACGCATACCGATGAGGGTCCTCGTTGTTGTTGATGTTAGCTTTGATGTGAGTCATGACCAGTTTTTCGAAACAATTAGCGACTATCGGGGTGAGGGCAACTGGCCGGTAGTCATTCAGACCAGTCGCTGTCGAGCTCTTTGGGACTGGGATGATGGTTGTGGTCTTCAGGCAGGTGGGAACTGTTGTCAGGGTGAGGGACGAGTTAAAGACGTCAGCAAGCACCTCGCAGAGCTGATCAGCACAGTCTTGTATAATACGATACTCTTCCAGAGTATCTTATTAATATTTCTGCTTGTACATTTTCATCAAAGTATTTTTCTCTCCATTAATTAGAAATCAAAACCAGACGGGAAATAATAAACATAATTTAGCCGATTATTGTAATTTTGTTCTTAAACACAAAGGGGTTTTGAAAAGGACAGCTGACATTATAAACACGTGTGAATCAGTAGGTCCGAGGGGAAACTTACCTTCAACAAAACTAGAGCTTGGTTACATTTTTTTTTTTTAAGTAAGAAAGGAGGGTCTTAGTTTATCCTCAGTAGTTAAACAAGAGTACTGATTATGGCATATTATACACCTGTCAACAAACTATTATACAGAAATCTTTAGCAAAAGCCTGGACAAGCAAAGACCTTTGACCTTGATTTGTGACTTTGACCTTGGAGCTGGGACGATGAAAAGATTGTGCAACACTGTCTAGTGATGGTATATATGCGGATAAAGTTTTTTAAACTATCTTGAGCAGATCAGAGGTTATAGGCGGGACAAGAGACCGATGGACGGAGACTACACCTCAGTGTGTCCCACCTTTTGATGGGCGTATAATAATCAAATTGTTCCACTGCATGTCGTTTGCCTAAAATCTTCAAAGCTGCTTCTTTTTCAATAAATGGAAAGATTTGGTGCAACTATACCACCTATTTTGTGCTTTTCTAAGAATTTTATTGTATAAAAAAATTATTAGTTATTATTATTTTATAATCCTGAGTGCAAACTATGTCAGAATGCAAAGTGGCGTGTGCAGTCCTGACTCCTTCCTATAATCAACATCCACCATGTCTTTCTGACATGAGCCTGTAAACACGAAATAGAAAAGTTACTTTTGTCCCACATAAAGTTAATAAAAGCGACTAACGTGTTTAATTCAGCCTATTGTATGTGTATGAGCTACAAACTGATGTCTGTTCATCTAAACCAGCTTGTTAGATACTTATTCTGTGATCAACACACTTTGAATGACAGCACCAGCACCAAAGGTGTTTAAATACATCTGTTAGGTATGTGCAGTGTCATTAAACTGAAGAAAGAAAGAGTTAAATTTATAACTTTGTAACCTACTTTGTATTCCTGGAAGAGTGTCGCCTCAGGCGAACTTTAGGATGACTCTGAGGTACAGAGGGGGACTCATATCAGTATGAAATACAGGGGGTCTTTAGGAAAAATCCTTAATTATCTAAAAACTGTTTAAGATTTGGACACATTTGTCAGTTTGAGGTGCTTTAAAGTATTTGCTGCATACTATGACCTTTCCAAATGCCTGCAGCACGACACAAAGCACCGTCAACGAGGAAGGAGAAGGACACTTTCTACCATAGGCAGGACAAATTACCCAACCGTGCTGGACTTTGGCACTTAATGTCATGCTCTCTCAAAGTTGGGCCCCCACTGGACGAAGGCAAAGGTTGCCTGCACAGGCAGACTAATTTGATGCTTTAGATTGTGTGCTGAAGTGGACACTATTAACCACTGCCTGCACAGCCCAGTGGAGATGGAGGACAGTTCAAAGAAACGCGTCCACTCAACACGCATCTCTCTGTGCCTTTCATTTCGATAAAAGGTGAGCAACATATGCAAGATTATGGAACTTCAAATACAGCAATTTGAACAGGGACTTAGTTTTTTATCCTGTGGGCTGTAGAGGGGGGAGGGAACACCTGGAGTTCTGCATCTTTGTAGAGAAAAAACAAAACAACCCCTAACAGTATTATTTAGATTTTAGGCCAAATCTGAAAATCATACGGCAGTGAAAAGATTGCGATAATGTGTTGATATTGTCCTTTACTGTCCTGCCCTGCTTCAATCATACGCTTGTTTGGAACACAAACAGTGACAGATTGGAGCCATAATAAATCATAGGAACTAATGAAAAGCTGCAGAAATGAGAGGGATCTTGACTCTGGGCCAAACACAGTCGGTCAATAACAGACTGGCGAGCAAGAGAGAAAAACGTGAGGAAAAGAACAGAGGAGATAGAAAAGAGCAGTGAACCAGAGCTTTTAAATTGTCCTTCCACCTGCAAGTAAACTCTGCAGGAGTGAGGATGTAAATCTGACGGTTCTGAATTAACCGTTACTTAATGCCTACGGGACTTCTTTATTGGATAGACATGCTCGCATTGGTTGAACGTGCGCGCTGTGCCCTCGTGCGCATGTTTATGTATGCCAGAGAGGACTGCTCCAAACTGCCAGGAAAATGGTCCCCTCATTACGTTCATTTTTAGCTGCAATTTAAAAGCAATTACGATAAGCCTTGGGGTCAGAAAGAGCGTAAACATGGTACATTTGTTTGACGGGCAAGGGCGAGCGGATAAATCATCATCATCAGCATCCATCTCCAACTGCCACTAAATGACTCCCTCGTGGACGCAGGAGGGTCAATTTGCATCTGCTGAACAAACAGAATGAAAAAGGTGCAAAAGCTAAAAAAATTAAATCTAAATCACTATGAACTTTGTTTTACACACAAAAGTAAATATATTTGAAAGACCCTTTTGTGTGCATTTGGTGAAGCAAGAAGCGGTGGTCATGTCTTTGAGGCGTTTACTGGTGATACCCACCCCTCTGGCGTGAAGTCCTTCTCTTTGCAGATCTCCATGAGTTTGGGGGTTAGCCTGTACGCTTTGAGGGACAGGGATCCTTGGGCCGTTTTGATGGGGTCTGGAATTAGAAAATCAAGATTACAATTAAAATACTGGCTTAAATTTGATGATTCCACATTTAAAATCAGATTTCTTGTTAAACTTTGTAAACTAAGGTTTTACCAAGTGTACACCAGTCAGCAGCAGTCCAGCTGCTGATTCAGAGAGCTTACTTTATTTCTATAGTGCCCATCGCTGGAGAGCCTGAGTGAGAGCATTAGTCACAGGAACACAATTTAAACAGTTTAGAAAGGTTTTTCTTTAAAGGCTCCTTGTTCAGTTCAGTCGACAACTGCTTCAAAGTAACACTTCATGTCGCTGGAAGTGGGGTTCTGTGGCAAAGTGACACAGAGTTAACATTTTATGTGTTCTAGATAGTTTTTAGATCTATTTTTGGATATTAAAAATATTTATTTAAAGCTCTCCGTTTTTGTTATCTGTGAGCACAAATAGCAGCTGTAGCATTTCAAGTGCAGACTGAAGACAATCAGGGGCGAAATGAAGTTTTTCTTCATAAATACTTGTGTTGCAATACTGACAGTGATGTAAAGGTTTTAAAAACACTATTACATGGTTATATATACATGACGGCAGCCATTTTGGATTCTGATAAAGCAACCCAGTTTTTGATAGTGGTCTTTCTTGCACCTAGATGTAGCCACACACACCAAGACGCACGGTGCCTCTCTTGTTTTTCAAGTTATCATGCTCACAACATGCACAGACTGACAGACGATACTGCCAACTCCCCCTCTTTGGTCAGCAGGGGGGTCAATAAACAGGATTATATTTGTGACTCTAATACAGTGGTTTGTATTCACACTGCTTACTGTTACATGCCACTGCCATTATTAGCTAAAGTCATAATAAATGGGGAGTGGTGGTGCAGAGGTTAGAAGATGGGCCTGTGATCAGAAAGTCGCAGGTTCACCTCCCGGTACAGTCAACATCAAAATGTGGGTGGAAAAAGTGAAACACCCACACCTCCCTCCACCCTCATTCGCCCCACTCTGGGCCCCTGAGCAAGGCCCTTAACCCCCACCATCTGCTCCCTAAACAGGTCTCTCTTGAAAATGAGTTCTCGTGGCTCAATGAGACTAACTGGATAAATAAAGGGTAAATGAAAATAAAACCTGGAAATGAACTCTATCCTCACACTGAAAGGAGTTTATTGCAGGTTTAGTCAATATTACATCAAAATCTTTCACTTGCTGATATAAGCACCTAAATGAACAACATCTTGAAAGAGTTATTCATTTTGTTCTGTTACTTGAAAATTATTATGATTGAAATAATTGTTTGAAAAAAGGGGCAGATATAATAAGATTTTTTCTTCTTTCTGCTGCCTTTCATTTTAAATATTTTGTATCTTTTTTTATATTGTTATGGAATTGTTTTGTACTTTTTTAAAATGAATAAACTTTATACCATATCATACCATCTAGGGCCTCCTTTTTTTTATAAAATCACAGTATCCACCTGACAATAAATGATGGCAGCCGTTTTTCAAGATGGCTGCCATTTGTGAGGTGAAAACCTGTTTTATCCATGTACTATTTGAATGACTGCCTTTCATGCTAACCTGAATGTAGTGGCAGATGTGAGTGGTATTGCTTTGGTATGAAATGCTCACAGCTTTGTGCTGAAGCGATGAGTAGAACAAAGTAGTTCTGGGTCATTGTCAAATTGTAATCAGTCAAAATGCATGAAACGTTTTAAGTAATACCACTGTTTTCATATCATGACCTCCCATCCCTCATTTATAACAATAATATACTTTTACACTCATGGTTTTCTAAATAATAATGTTTCTGACTCCAGAATTGAACTTACCATGCACAAAACCCTAAATTTTGATGCAAAGATGGGGACATTTGAATGACTCAGTATCAATTCAGGCCAAAAACACACAAAAAATGACTTCCAAAGGCAGCCATCTTGAAAAATGTATGCAGTTTTTCCAGGTAAATATCATAATTTTTGGAAAATATATGTCTATGAGATGATTTGTGCCAAATGTTATGCTTGTATCACCAAGTGAATGATTGCTTTACTAATCTGCAGCACTAAGACTCACATTTTCACAACAACATACTGATACAACTGAAAAATCAAAGAATAAATAGAAGCAAATGCAGTTTCAGTGAATAACCATAATGTACAGTTTGATCTCGTTTGACAGATTTTAATCACTTATTGTTATTGCGCTATAGTGGAAAAATGTGGCTTTCTTTTAATGACGTCTAAATCTGAGCAGTTAAGAAGTGCAGAGGGAGCAGGCCAGCCCATTTCAACATTCCCATCTATTATAGAAAATATTAAGCCAAGTTTTAACAGTAAGTTTCTAACAGTGGTGATAGAGTGCTGTGCAAACATTTACTCTTTAAACTTGTAATTTTCTGTCTAAGAAGAGAAACTTCTTTAAAAGTATTGTTGAGCAGTAAATCTCCAGGCTTTGTGAAGGTCTTTTAGAGTATTTATCTGGACATTTAATGCATTTTCCCCCCATTCATTTTTAGTTTAGTCCTTGTACCAGACTGTTGGGCATATCTCAGCTGGGTGTCCACTGCGACCTTAAAAACTCAAGAAACAAGTGGGAGCTAAAAGAAATAGTGTCGGTCCTAAAAACAAAAAAGCTCTCCAACATATGGATGGTGAAAGACAGTTTAGCAAAGCTTCTTTACTAGGTTCTATTTCCTATATTAATACAACTCTGGTTTGTCGTTTGAGTCTGTAATAAGAGTCTAAACAATGACAAGCAGCAGGCCGATGTCCCCCTCACTAAGGGATTTGAATAGTGAATGTTTGTAGTTTTTAAGACGAGTGTTTTTCTGAACTGGAGTTGAACAGGAAATGCAAGTAAACCTGAATGTTTTTGGTGCAAGATATTTGAGTGGGGGCGGCACGGTGGAACAGTTGGTAGAGCTGTCACCTCTCAGCAAGAAGGTCACTGGACCAAATCCCAGCCAGGGGGTCTTTCTGGGTGGAGTTTGCATGTTCTCTCCGTGCATGCGTGGGTTTTCTCTGGGTTCTCCGGTTTCCTCCCACAGACCTAAGCATAGATGCTAGACTGACTGGTAACTCTAAACTGTCTCTAGGTGTGAGTGAGAGAGTGAATGGGTGTTTGTCTTGTTTGTCTCTATGTGTCCCTGTGATAGACCTGTCCAGGATGTCCCCCACCTCTGGCACAGTGTCTGCTGGATATGGGCACCAGTGACCCCTGGGACCCAAAAAGGAAGAAGTGGGTAAAAGATAATGGATGGATGGATGGATGGATGGATGGATGGATGGATGGATGGATGGATGGATGGATGGATATTCAAGTGGTATAGGAAATACACTGTAGAGAAGAACAGAAGTAGCTTTTTTATTTTATTTTTTTATTGTCTGATGTTGCACAGAGTGACGGATCCTGGCAAGTGGAGAGATCAATTTTATCCACCAGGCACAACGGTGGAGCCAGGGGGTGGTCAGTGGTGGCCTCAGCCACTACAGATTCATCTTCAGCCACCCCACCAGCCACCCCAATCATTTGAGGAAATTATACTTTTGAGCAACAGAAAAGCTGAAAGCATAGTTTCCTAAAATGATAGGGGTGGCTGATTTACATATTATATGGTGGTGGCCATCTTGGATTTTGACTTGGCAACCCAATTTTTTAGAGTGACCGTTTGTTTTGTTTTTTACACATAGATGCAGCCACACTTAGATATGCAAGTTGGCAATTTGCTTATTTTTGAAGTTATCCAGCTCACAAGGTTACATTTATGCCTACATGGCTGCAGCCATCTTGGATTTTGACATGGCAACCCAGTTTTGGAAAGGAACCTTTCTTATACATAGATGTAGTCGCACACCAAAATAAAAGTTGGTGTTTCATTTATGTTTCAAATCATCATGCTCACAACATGCACAGATGAACGGACAGGCCAAGGGTATTTTCAATTCCCCTTCTTCGCTCTGCGATGGGGGACAAAAACAACCTTTTTCCTGGAAGAGATGGCGTGACTGGACAATGTAAAACCTGACATTCAAATGTCTGGAGAACTGTTGATTTAAACTACCAGGAAAATTTGCAAGAAAGCAATCAAAGCAAGGATAATCCTGAGCAGTAACAATAAGTTAATGCAACAAGTTTGTTTCATAGTAACAAATGCAAAAACCATAAATGGGAAAACTGACTGAAACTGAACAGTCCCACAGCAAGCAAACTACAGTGCAACTAAGATTTCATCGTCACACATTCCCTACAAACAGCCAGCTGTGACAAACCATTTGCCTATAGATCATCGAGTCCCTGCAAAGACGGAGAGTTGACGGTGAGTTCATCTCCACCGAAGACGTAGAGGGCCAGCATGAAGTTAGCTCTTTCAAATCCATAGAGAGCATGCAGACTGAATTAATACAGAGTGGTACAGATAAAGATAGAGTTTCCTCAATCTGGGCACAAAGATGAAATCTTTTCCTTCAAGCAGAGGACAGTCTGTGTTGAGTAGCACAGGCACTCCTTCAGGCTTTAGTTTTAATGTATAAAAAACAATAATGAAAAAAAGTTAATTTATTTTTGGATAAATCATCTCAGCATAAATCAAATTGTCAAGGTGTCCAAGGATGATGTTTATATTGACTTTTTCAATATATTAACTAAATCAGTTCTGAGGCTAATTATTTTACAACACATACCTAATCCTAAAGCTCTAATTAGCTCCATATGTGCTTCAATTGTATTTTTTATAACTGTTAATCTTACAGTTAAATGTTTTACAAATTAACCTGATCAGTTTAACAACCTACTGGAAGCTCAAGCTGTCACTGAACAAAAGCTATTTACCTGCTCAGCCAATTGATTCTTTCATCGGTATGAAATGATCGGTGAGCTAATGACAAAAAGAACAAAAAAGGAATCAATTTTAACCTCCCCTTTGACTTTAAACGGAGATAATGTAAATTCCTCTGGGGCGCTTTGATCCGTTAAGTGCTGCATTATTGATTGACATTAGTAGGAGGTCTCGTTGAGAA